CCCCCCCCGATCGATATCGAATGCAATTAACCTGATTTGCCCTCGCATCCGAGCGGGTGAATCAATGTCGCCGAAGCAACAGTTGGCGGAAGAATTCGCACGAGGGCCCCATTATCTTGTTAGAAGCCCGATAGAAGGCGGTTCAATCTCGACTCCGAAGCCTGCGGCCTCGGCCCCGGGTGATTGATGTGCGGCGGTCTGGGGGAAGGAAGAGAGGTGGGGGGGAGGGGGGGGGGAGGGGGGGTAAGGGGGGGGGGAGGAAGCAAAGAGGGGGGGGCGGATGCCCGGGAGCTCTTGTATGCACTATCAAAGATTTCATCTGTTATTTTTTTTTTTCTTTCTCATGCGTGGAACTGGTTATAAAGGAAACCCTGCCTAAGTGAACGGCGGTGACGATTTTACTGTTCCTTTTTTCCTAAAGAAACAGCGTGCAAAGGCCCTTGTGTGCGAGGCGAGGAAGAAAAAGAATTGTAACTATAATGGATGGTGAGAACGAAGTGGAGCCTGGTTTGGCTTTGCAAAGGACTTTCACCTCGCGGGGCATCCCACACTCCAATGCACCTAACGGGACTTTTCTCTCTCTCTCTCTCTCTCTCTCTTTCTCTCTTTCTCTCTTTCTCGTGCTCTCTCTATCTCTGTCGCATTTCCTCTTCTCTCTCTTTCTCTCTCCATTCATGTACCAATCTCACAATTTGTCCAGGAATATTTTTTTTCTTTCCTGCGGCTCGTTCATGCGGTACCTCTCGGTTCACGAGGATACAGTGCAGTGTCCCTTGCGTGGGATTACGGTTCACCTCGGGGAACGCTGCCGTCGCGTTTCCTCGGAACGAGAAAGTAGTATGTGCGTCCGCATCGGGACGAAGCTTTCGTCCGCGGCACTAAAGAGGATCACGTGGGAGAGGAACCGTGAAAGCGCCGGTGCCATTTGTCACGTTCCGGAGAGAGGCAGAGGAACGAAGGGAGAGGATCATCCGGCGTTCAACAGAGTTGCCTGAAATGGGAATAGGAGCGGGATCTCTGCAAACAGGGGTGTCACGTGGAATGACAACCATAACCGTTCTCGTTTTCCTTCCCTCACTCATCATCGCGTATAATGTCCCTCCGCCTTTTATGTTCCGCTCCATTTCCACGATGATGGAAGAATCCTCGTATGTCGGTCGGGATCGTGTCGCGCAGACGAAGCGACGAAGGTGGCCATCGGCGACGAAGGTGGCCATCGGCGTCGAAGGTGGCCATCGGCGACGAAGGTGGCCATCGGCGTCGAAGGTGGCCATCGCCGGATGCGACCCCGAAGGTCTTCTCAACCCGATCCATAAATCATGCGAGGCCTGGAATTCACTCCCCGGAGTAACATAATGGGGAATGGCCAGCCTTCGCAGGAGGCGAATCGATTAGCGTGACTCTGCTCGTCGTGGACAATGGGACACAGCCCCGTTATATTATATCCCAGGGTATCATTCTCCAAAAATGGAGTGTTCTACATCCAGTGGAAGCCGGCGAAACGCTTCCTTTCCCATCGGGAACGGTCGGTGGGAAGGGCAGTGCGTTCGGGGTGGTTTGCGTATGCTGCTGCAGGCTTGCGCTTCCGGAACCGGAGATTGAGTTTTATGGAAGTCGTGTCGACCGGATGCATCGGGCCGTTATTATAGTTCAGTCGGGCTCGTTTTACAATTCGGTAATCCGATGCTCTTTGAAGCCATGCCGAGAGTAAAATTTATCTCGACTTGCATCTGCACGCGTCGACTTAATTCGAGCGCATCAGACGCGAGAAGAACTGTCGATGGAAGTGGAAGCGATGAGGAATTGGTTTCTATGGGCGTGCGATCTGCAACGGAATTGAAATTCCGAAGGGGTTCCTTGGAGATGAAAGATGAGAGCACTCTTTGGTTTTTTTTTCCGGCTGCACCAATCACATTAATGAAAGAGATCTTTGACGAACCCCAACTTCTTGGAAGCCCCCGGACAAACACGAGTCGACGGTCTCAAGGGCATGAGAGATGGACGCGCTTGAATTACCGTTCCGTAGGACACCATGGCAGCCCTGCATGGCTGACAGCTGTTCTTTACAGCCGAACTCGTGCACCTTTCCCTCCGTCCTCTGGATCAATGCACAGTTGTTGGCCCTCTTGCGAGGGGGCACGGAGCGAGGAGGCACGGAGCGAGGGGGCACGGAGCGAGGGGGCACGGAGCGAGGAGGAAAGTGAGTAGTTCCTGTGAAGGAAAGAGGGAATTACCTATTTTCCGGGGAAAATTCTAGGAATCCTGAGGGAATGAGCTCTCTGTTCTGTCTTCAGCAACTGAGATGGATTAAAAGAATTGCAGCGTTTGAACTCCCACGGATTGACTTGAGTTATTGATTGATTGAGTCCCGATATGATGTTGTTAGGTCGTAAAATTGTCCCGGTTAATAAGATTAAAGCAAAAAGGACTTTTGACGTGGCAACGTTCGACTGGAGCTGGCATTGAGATACTGCAGTTTGCTCATTTGCATGTCGCCCATTTCGGACGTCCCAATACGAAATTTCATGGCGTACTTATTACGTTACTTATGGTGAGCCTGGTGCCAGGGGTTACCGAGGTGGCTCGTTTGCAAATGAAGTATGTGAAATGTGTCAGTTGGTTGAAACGGCAGTAGAGTCGAGCCCACGAGAGTGGCATTTGAAGTGTCGAGTTGGCCGGTTTGCAGGTCAGTGTGTCCCTCGAAGACGGAATGGTTTTTTTTTTTTTTTTATTTCGACACGACATTGACCTCGGGCATATAAACCTGCTTTTTTTTTTTACGTACATTCCGAGCCGGCTCGTTTGCAAGTCATCGCGTGGGTTGATTGGGTGAATCTTATCCTCATTTGATCGTCTGCTTATGTTACACGAGCACCGCAGTACGACCCGCAGTACCGACCCGCAGTACCGACCCGCAGTACCGACCCGCAGTACCGACCCGCAGTACCGACCCAGAGAGGGAAGAAAGTCCCTGGAGACGAAAAGCTCTCTGACCTCCATGTCTAGTCTGGAGATTTTCCAGCTGTGAGACTCGAACAGCTCGTCAAAGGCGATGCTGTGCTCCGTGTGAATTGATTCATTAGTGTCCGCCGGCAATGGTCATAAAAGGGAAGAGGGCGAGCGTTTTCGGAAAACAACGGGCATTTTGCCCCGCGATTGACGTCCTGACACTTTGTGGACACTCGACAGTCATAAAAAGGGGGGAGGAATGAGTCTCCTTTAATTGCTCCATCAGGAAATTATCCATAGTTGGATAATTTCTTTGTCTGGTACATAGACTGGGAATGCCGGCGAGGAGTCTTGTTCGAAAGATGCAGCGTTTTCTTGGGGGGGCGTCTCCCCATTCCGATTCCATCTTGAGGATGATGCGTCGTTGTGCGTCGCCTCATTTAAAAATACATTCCTCTCGAGATTGAAAAACTACTGCTTTTTTTAAATATTGATATGGCATCAAATATACATTCCTGCCTTCGATGATAGGAGCTCTTTCACAATATTTTCTGCACAATATTTTTTGCACAATATTGACCTAGTTTTTGGGGTGCGATTTAGCAGGAAATTTTTTTAGGGTCGAATTTGGTGTCAAAGCTAAAATTCGCGTCCTTCGTTGACACTCCGTGTCTTTAAATGTTGTTCACGGTGGAGTAGGACATTTTAAACCCGGCGGAAGAAAATGAGCTGGGGATAATCCGACGATATCGAGTCTTAACATCCCCGATCCGACGCTAGTGTCTCCTCATAATGAGTCTGCCATCTGTTCTCGAGAGTACTTCACAATTGAGTATTGGAAAATGAGGCGTACTCTCGTGATGAGTCCGTGGGGGGTCATTCAGGGGCAATCTAGATGATTTTGCGCCTTCAATAGGAGCTATATTACCTCTTCTCAGCTTGGAAAATCCTTTTTATTGTGTCTTGCTTCATGCGTATAATCTCTTTTCGGACTGATCTCACAGGATTTATTCATATTTAAAAGATTCTCTCCCCCCTCAGGATCTCAATTAACCATCTGCGCCTGTTCGAGCCCCCTTTCACAGAAGCAATCATCTCGGGCCCTCTTTGCTCGATGCGAATTCCCCTTTCACAAGGATTCATTTTGCATCGGTTACTAGTTTACTAATTCGTGCCGTGACCCGGAGGGGGGAGGGGGGGGAGGGGGGGGGGGGGGGGGGAGGGGGGGGGAGGGGGGGGGGGGGC